TCTTGTTTATTCACAAACTTCGCCAAGGGGCCTGGATAACTCACAGAGAAAGCTCCAAAAAAAAAAAAAAGGAAAAAGGGACAAGGACTATCTTCTATTTTTGTTACAGTTTGTGCGGCCTACAAGCAGTAGTTATATCAGGATCCACCACTCAGACGACACGGTGGTGTTCAGTGTCGACGTCGCCATCACAGCCGCTGTGTTGTATCCTGTTGAAAGTCTGGGACGGACTATAGAGTTCACAACTTCTGTAGCCTTTATTGAGAAGGAAACCTACTATGTGACTTTGGACCCAGGTAATTTTTGTGTTTACCATTAAGTCCAACATTACTCGCGAGAATATGCATGCATATTTGACATTAGACATAAATTAAAAAATATATATATAGACAATTGCAGTTATATTCATAATCTATTACCGTGCGATACACATTACGCAGAGTGGTTATTGTTCTCGGGACAATTTACTTGCAATCTTGCATGAAACAGGTCTGTAATATTACAGGTAAAGCGTTAGCCAAATCTCTCTCACTGGTAAAAGTCTGCAGCGTTCTAACGAACTGAGGTGTCAAGCAAACTGGGAACAGGTCATGATGAGGTTTCGTACAATACGATATATCCGTTAAGGATAACGTTTATACTTGTTGATTCGTTAACCGATCCGAAACAGATATGGTCAAAGTTCATAGATGTGCAATTTTTAGTTGTATAAAACGCGAATCTTGTACTAAAACTAAGTCTATACAAGGCCTTTGCAGTATAGAGTGAATTAACAGGAACGACAAGTTTCCTGTGTGAATGAGCTCGTTACAAAAGCAAGAAGAACCTAATCCAGCAGCCTCTTCAAATTGAGAATACCCTATTTTGCATCTATTATTTTATCTCCCTTCCAGTGTGGTTTTCGAAAAAATCATTCTACCTAGGACGCGGCTACATATTTCACTGATTGTATTAGGAAAGGCATTGACGAAGGTTGTGTTACAGCAGCGGTGTTTGTCGACTTTCGAAAAGCCTTCGACAGTGTAAATCACCAACTTCTCCTAAAGAAACTTCCTGCCTAAAGAAACTGTCTATGGCAGCTCACATTCTGCACCTCAGCAGATAAAATCTGGCGTCCCACAAGGGTCCATACTTGGTCCGATTTTGTTTTCGATTTACATCAATGACTTGCCTAACTGTTTACTTCAGTCAAAGATTCTACTTTATGCGGACGATGCTGTCCTTTTCTACGCTGACTCCAATATCGGAAAAATAAGTACTGTTTTGAGTAAAGATTCCGATAAATCAAGCACAACATTACAAATACCTTGGTGTGCTAAAAGATGCGAATCTTACTTCCAACCAACACATGGATAAGCTACTGGTTAAGATTTCCAAAAGAATCGGTGTCCTCGGAAGAATTTGAAACAGTCTAACTGTCGATGCAGCTAATAAAGTTTATCAGGGAAAATAGAACGTGATAAGTTAGATCGAGCACAGAGAAGGGCAGCAAAGATTGTCTTGAAGACCAAAGATTCAGACCCCAAGAAGAACTTAAAGTGGCTTCCTTTGTCTATGAGGCGTGACATACATACTATTAATTTGACTTTTAAATGCTTGAAGGGATCCCCTCCAATGTTTTTTAAAGATTATTTTAAGGTTTTTAGAACAATCCACAACACGAGGGGAAGTGGGCAGAACTTGCTGTTCCCAAAGTCAGAACTGAGACGGCTAGGAAGTCTTTTTGTTTTAATGCATCTAAACTTTTTAATAATATTGCGAGTGTAATGAAGGATTCTAAGTCAGTTATGATTTTTAAAACGCGTATTTTGGAATTATAGCGAACAAAAGTTTTTTTAGTTACTTGTAAAGTTTTTTTATTAGTTAAGCTTTTAAATGTATTTTAATTGTTGTATTTTAGCTTTTTTAAATGATTTTTTAATGATTTTTTAGATCTTGTTGTATTTTTAACTTTTAGTTTTTTTGTTGTTGCTGTAATTGAGGCTAGTTTTATATATATATATATATATATATATATTTTTTTTTTTTTTTCTAGGGCCCAGAAGTTCATCACAACTCGATTCAAACCGCTTTTGATTACCACCACATTCCCGATCATATCAAATCACTAGTGAAAAGTCTTTACACTGACTTCAAAACCTCTATTCTTACAAATAAATTTCGCACTCCGTTTATATCTGTTGGTCGTGGTGTACTCCAAGGTGATTGCCTAAGCCCACTTCTCTTCAACTTGTGTTTTAACACGTTTCAACAGCATATTAAATCTGAAAAATATCGTCAATTTGGCTTTTCCCTCAAGTCCTTAAATCCCATCCACTGGTTCCAGTTCGCTGACGATGCCGCTGTCAGAAGCGGTCAGGAATCAGAAAATCAACATCTAATCAGCCGCTTTATAATCTGGTCTAATTGGTCGAACATGATAATAAGAGTTGATAAATGTTCTACTTTTGGGATAATGCCCTCATCAAGCCAATACTAGAGTATTGTTGTACGGTCTGGGGTAACTGTACCGTTGGTAATCTCCGAAGAGTTTTACGACTACAGAAACGATGTGCTAGGCTTATTTTAGATGCTGATACTCACGAAAACTCAGTCAAGCTTTTTAACAAATTAGATTGGTTGCCTATAGATGATATTATACGTATTAGGAAGCTTTATATGCTTCATAAAATAAATCAAGGACATTGCCCGGCTTATTTTAATAAATATATTGAACATATAAGTAATAATCATAATTATAACACGAGATCCGTTTCCAATAACAATATTACAACACCAGCTTGTAAAAGGAACTCTGGCCTTAGAACGTTTCACTCAAGCGCTTGCCGTTTGTGGAACGCCCTTGATCCCGAACCAAAGACACTCTCCCATACTAATTTTAAAAATTACTTATTTAAACTTTACCGCAGTATGATTTCTCTTCTTGATCATTTTAAGATTTGTAAAACCTTTTAGTTTCATTAGTAGTCAATTAATCAATATTGTATTAATAGCAGTTCATTATGTAATTTTAGTTGGTAGATTATATAGGTAGTTAATTAATTAATCGATACATTTTATTACTTTAACTGTAGGAGGGCCATTATGAAAACTACTGGGTGACCAGTAATCAATGTCTTTACCCTCGTTAAATAAAGTAATTACTTACTTACTTACTTACTTACTTACTTACTTACGAAACTGTACACTAAATCTGTCCAATATTTACCCAAACTGTTGATCAATGGAGTTCTAATTCCCTGTGTGGAAATGGGTGAATCATTTCGTTACTTAGGTCGCTTCTTTGACTTCAACATGTCTAACAACCAACACATGTCTGGATTGTCCTCTCTTGTGCAAGACTTGATGAATGACATTGATATAAAGCCACTACATCCTAAACACAAACTTCTTCTGTACAGCCGCTATGTCCTATCTAAATTGTCCTGGCATTTCACTATAGCTAATATATCCAAAACCTGGATAACGGAACATCTCGACTCTGTAGTGAATGGCCATATTCGAAAATGGCTTGATATTCCGATATCTGGAACACTGAGCAATGTTTTCCTAGAACGCAATAAATTTGGTCTAAAATATTTGTCGTCCCTCTATTAAATTTACTCAGTGCCAAACAGTTCTCCGAAATTCATTAAAAGAGTCACCAAATGATTCCTTAAAAGATCTCTGGAAATCGACAAGCTGTCAGACTAATATTCCATATGATGTGTACAAATCCACTAAGGAAGTTCTTAAAGATTTCCGTTCTAATCAAGAGGATAAACTGCAACACCATCTAACATCTCAATGTTTCTTCTTCTCAAATGTTATCAAGTACTCATTGTCATCTGTAAATTCTATTTGGTCAGAGGCCCAGTCTTATCTACCCAAGAACATTTACAATTTTACCATCCGCTACATCAACAACTCCCTCCCTACACGTAAGAATATGGCAAGATGGGGATTATCACAAAGTCCTGGTTGCTCCTTTTGCCTTAATCCTGAATCACTCCTTCATGTTGTCGCTGCTTGTCAACAGTACCTTGATCGCTTTACCTGGAGACACGACTCAATCCTTAACTTCATTGCCAAGTCACTTCAACCTGTAATTAATGTTCACTCTTCACTCTATGCAGATGTTAATGGTTTTCTGAATCCCTCAATAATAACTGGTGAAAATTATCGTCCAGATATTCTTTTCCTAATCCAGTCCAAGTGCCTATATGTTCCAGAATTAACAGTTGCTTTCGAGCCTAACCTTAACAACAATGCAGTGCGTACGAAAGAAAAATATAGAAATTACAGATGTGTGAGATTTGTAAATCTCTCCATGAGTTCCCTTGGCGTTTTCTCCGATGAATGCTCCACGTTCTTAGACATGATGAATGACATTGGCATTGACAAAAAGCAGCAAATTTATATAATCAAGAAAATGATAAATATAGCCATTAGAGCAACATACTACATCTTTTGTTGTAGAAATAGGAACTCGGAAAGCCCAGTCTCAATGCAATTTTGAATTTTTTTTTTTTGGCTTTTGTTTTGTTTTTATTTATTTATTTTTTCTTTTTTTTTTCTTTTTAATAATTCAATCTCAAGCAGCATTTGTAAAAAAGCCTATACGTAGCGAGATTTACAATTGTACATTCAAAAACACAAATAAAGTTTCCATTATTATATATTGCAGGTGTAGCTAAAGGAGTTACCTACTGTGGTGCCGAGTCACCGCCTGTCAGGGATCCTTCTGCATGGAGCATTAAAATAAGTACGGTATTTACACAATCGACATCTTCATAGTTTATCTTCATTACCTTTATCATCGACATCATCATCATCATCATCATCATCATTATCAGCATCGTCATCATAATTGTCATCTTTGTTATCACGATGATGATGATGATGATGATGATGATGATTTTCATCCCGATCCCTATCTTCATCCCCACCCCTATCACAATCACTATCAGCATCGTCATCCCAGTCACCATCACTATGACTTTCACCTTCTCCATCTCAATCACCATCTCCATCTCCATCTCCATCCCCATCCCCAACACTTTCACCTTCACCATCACCATCACCATCCGCATCACCATTCCATTACCTTCACCATCCTCGTTACCATCCCCATTCCCATCATCATCCCCATCTCCATCTCCTTCATCATCATCATTATCGTCATCGCCATCGTCATCGTCATCGTCATCATCATCATCATCATCATCGTCATCGTCATTATCATCATCATCATCATCATTGCCATCATCATTGTCATCGCCATCCTCATGTCAGCCACCATTTATATCACCTTGACCTTCTTGATCTTTATCTCCTTCACCGTCACCATCTCCATCTCCATCCCCATCACAATCGCAATCACCTTCACCATCCCCATCACCGTCCCCATCCTCATCACCATCTTCATCTCCATCTCTATGACCTTCACCATCCTCATCACCATCCCCATCTCCATTCCCATCCTCATCACCTATACTATTTCCATCTCCATCACCTTCACCATCCCCATCCCCATCCTGATCACCACCACCACCATGATTATCATCATCATCATCACTGTCAACAAAATTGTTGTCCTCATCGGAAAACATCGTCGTCATTATCATTGTTCTTCTTCACCTCCCTTTTTTTTCTCCTCCTCCTCCTCCCCGTCATCATTATCATCAACTAAGCATTATTTGACTGCTGTCTTCAGTAATCATTAGCATTATTCATTATTTACTCACTTGAGAATAGTTAAATGGCTGAACCACATTTCACTTTTCTTTCACAGAGGATGTAACTGCTCCTGTGTTAACATTTGTTAACGTTCCTTCTCGCTCTGGTAGTGACGTCATCATCACGTGGTCAGCAAATGAGAATGTGACGGCTCAGTGTACAGTCCAAACACCAACCCAGATCACAGCCCAACCGTGCAATATGTCGTGGAGTGGAACTAATCTTAGCGAAGGCTATCATAGCATTTACGTCCAACTGACCGACTCGGCGGGAAACACAGCGTCACCGTCCAGACACTCCTGGTTTGTAGGTAAGGCGTAATACTGTAATGTAATTACAAGATTCAGACTTTTGAACATCGGTGACTGATACTCCGCTTATACGAAATGGGCCATAATGTATAGGCTTGAGGTATTTTAAAGGAAAGGTTTCAACACAGCCAAAACAGTCTTCCTAATAATATGAGGGAGCTTAAGCAATCACGGAAACGTCGACGTTTGTTTCTTTTCCAAGTACACCAAACAGTAATATCAGATTGTCTAGAACTTATCGAGTAGACTTAATGTACAAGGACAACGTGATCATACCGGGAAACTAGCCTAACAGCTTACTTCCTGTGGGACGTTAATATTGTATTTATTCATACTTGAATTGTGTAGTTAAAGGGTAGTGCAGTAAAATTAGGACAAGCGACATGACCAGATGCAGTTAATGGAAACCGCGAAACGTCTACTAGATAAATATAGTCCATATGAAAATTTTAAAAACCCTAGCCTAGTAAAAACTGAAGTGGCATTTCAACATTTCGTGAAGGGATGTTCTGGTTTTTGATCATGTCGGCTTTGATTTTCTGTTTCCTTCCTTCCTTTTTCGTTCAGACCGTACACCTCCTCTGGTGACCATCACCTCCAAACCAACTTCGCCAAGCAATCAAAACTCATTCACTTTTCGATTTTCCTGTGGAGGCACATGTTCTTTTCAGTGTAGTGTGGCACAGATGGGAAGCAGACCGGCTTTTACTCAGTGTAATTCAAATAGATACACGGCTAGCAGCCTTCAGAATGGACTGGTGTATGTGTTTCAAGTCCGTGGAACTGACGATGTAGGAAACCATGGAAGTTCTGTGAATTACACTTGGAAAGTTGGTAAGCAGCCTGTTTAGTTTTTGATAATTTTTTTTGCAATCCAGTGAAGGGACTGTTCATCTAAAGTTTAATCCATTTTGTTCAGTTTCATTTATTTATTTTTTCAAATTTAAAGTTGGAGAAGAAATTACTTCTGATGACAAAACTTGACGTTTATGGCATGAAAATAAGGGAGTGAGGGTGGGGGAGTTGTGAAAGCAATCGCCTGCTGCAGGGATGACCCACTTTTGTATCCAGAAAGTGACAACAAACGTGAGTTTGTTGTTGGTTCCCGCCCCTCTTCCGAGAGGTTTTTCTTCGGGAACACCAGTGTTCATCAGAAGTAATTTCTTTCCCAACGTAAATAAAACCTTGGGGTGATTCAAGAGTATACGAAAAGAAACATGACTGGTGTTTTTGACCTTTGCAAAATTGACAGGATTTAAACAGTTTTCAGGAATTATTTTCAATCCATTTTCATTTTGTCCATGTGTGCCCTCCTTTTCTTTATAATTTTCTTTTATTTAAGGTTAATTCCCACACCAAAGTGGCGATGTTTTATGTTTTACACAATTTGGTGGCCAGCATTCGGTTATGTTCTCCTCTAATCCTCCATAAGCTTAGCTAATTATAGTGATCGCGAGATTTTCCAGCGTTTTCGAAGATAGCCCTGTTATGAACAACATTATTAGTAGTGATAAGAAGGCAGCTTTTATGTGGGGGGAACGACGTGAACCTTTTCTTTCTGTTTGTTGTTTAAATAATGATCCCAGTAAGGTGGATAGCAATTTATTTTGTTATGCGGCAACGGTGCTTTCCCCACATAGGAATGTTCTCATTTTTACACAGAGAATGCATAAACCTACATGAAGGCCGTTTTTACACTCCACTTTGAAAGGGTGTTTTCTCTCCACAAACTATCTGCTGTGATGTCCCCCAGGGATCCATTTTGGGCCCCTTGTTTTTCTTGCTCTATATTAATGATTTAAATAACGTATCGACGCTCGTCGAGCTGATTTTATTCGCTGATGATACTAATTTATTTATGTCCCATAAAGATCCTGTCTACCTGGCAGCCTCACTCAATTCCGAACTTAATAAATTATCCACTTGGTTTAAGGCAAACAAACTCTCCTTAAACCTGGAGAAAACAAACTTTATGTTATTTAAGCCTAGACAGAAAATGTATCATTTTCCAATGCAAATATGCATAAATGAAGAGATAATCGAACAGGTTAAGGAAACGGTCTTCCTCGGTGTAGTCCTTGATGAACATCTGTCTTGGAAACCGCACATTTCTCAAGTAGCTCGTAAAATCTCGAAATCAATAGGAGTCATTAATAGAGCAAGATTTTTTCTACCTAAACCCTGTCTAAAAACTCTTTATTATTGTTTAGTTTATCCTTATCTTCATTATTGTATTATTGTCTGGGGATCTACGTACAAAACCAATCTTCGCCGTCTTGTCTCTTTGCAAAAGCGAGTTATCAGAACTATTTCTAAATTAACTTTTGATTCTCATTCAGACCCTATTTTCAAAGAATTAGAGCTACTAAAACTTTCTGATATTAGACAACTAGAATTGGGTAAACTTACGTTTTCTCTTAACCATTCTCTCTTGCCTTCAAAGTTCAACAATTATTTTTCTTTAAACAAACAAGTCCAAGGCTATGCCACTAGATACGCGAACGATTTTCACCTTCCTTTTTGTAGAACAAACCTTCGTAAATTTGCTGTCAGTTTCCAAGGACCTACTTATTATAACTCTGTAGAAAATGATATTAAGGAATCTAATTCTCTCCACTTATTCAAAACGAAATTGAGAAAAAAATCATATAAGAATTATTAGTTATGAATCTTGTAGTAAATAGTTATCTTTCTTCACATGTCTGATATTATTTTTATACTTATTGTTACATGTACCATACTTTATATTTTGTCAACTCAGTCTATGTAATTAGTTAATTTATACATACCTTCATTGTATTTTACTTTCGATCCTGGCCCTACTGTTACTGTTAACTTTATTTTTACTCTGAGGGAGCCCAGTGTCTATAAGCCCCATGGTTTCTTTTAGGGCTTCCTCGCCACTTTCATTTGCTTTTGTGTAACTGTCTTGTTTTATCGTTATTTGTATTTTGTGGTAAATCAAATAAAGTTAGAAAGTAAAGTAACAAAGTTTTTTTGTGTTAAAAGATTTTGACCAATCACAAGAGTTGAAAACGATAGCCAAGAAAAGTTTACAATTTTACATGTTCCCCACATGGGATTTCTTTGCTATTGAAACTGAGACCAGATTTTGTTATATGGAAGATGGTTGGAAAGTAAGGATGAATATATGTAGTGTTTTATGAAGTTTTGTTAACTTTTGCTGTTTAAGCCAATCAGAAGTAAGTACAGACAATAGAAAAGTTGGCACCTTTTTTGCATTCCAACATGTTCGTTGCCGTTGTTGCTATCGTTCTTATCTGGACCGTTTCTTAATAGATTTACAGCCACCGGCCATTTCAAGTATGACTGTACAAAGCGTAGATTGCACGTCAGATCTTAGTCCATCAGCTCTTGGAAAACCCTCTGTAAGTGACGATGAAGGGCCAAATATAACATTAACCTACACAGACATCCCTGAAGGAAGTTGTAGCTTTCAAAGGAAATGGACCGCAACAGACCTAGCGGGGAACAGTGCCTCTAAAATCCAGGTCATAAATCTTAGCAATTTACAAGCACCTACAGTGATTTATAATACGAATACCACCATCGCTTGCGGAAGTTTTGAGGAGCGGCAACAAGACATGCGCGAGGCAATCAACGTCACTCATCCCTGCAATCGACCAATCACAATAACGCACGTGGATTCCGTTGCTAGCATCCTTTGCGGTACAACGGTCACACGAACGTGGACGATAGCAGATGACTGTGGCAAGCAAGTGTCGATTGGCCAACGCATAAGAATTTTACCGCTTCAATTACCAGACTATCCAAAGAATGGTCAGGTTAATGTGGCATTGAGAGAAGCGCTGCGTTGGCCGCAATATCCAGGAGCTGTTAGATACAATGTTTACCTCTGGCGATACGGTGATGCAAAGCCCTCATCACCAACGACCTGGTAAGCTTGAAGTCCCCTTAGTGGCTAAAACTATTTTTTGTACTTCTTCAAACTCTGTTGCCGGGTTCTGGTTATTGTCTGTGAAGGGCGTTTTAAACCTCAGGCTCGGTTCACCGTTAGCAAGTTGGGGATTCTCAGTTAGTTATGCGGAAATAGGGAAATTTGATCGTTAACCTAATTTTCTTTCTCATTTTTAGGACCCGCTATTATCGATATTACAGCCCTTACGCAGGCTATCCAGCTGATAGTCGTTTACTATGGAGAATTGAATACGTTCTTAGCTCTGGTGCCTTGATTCCAAGTCCAGTCTGGGGATTCCAAACCAGGGCGTTTCCTGACTTTGAGGTAGAACAAGTCCTGGCACCACCAAATGCCTTCTCGGGTCAAACATTCGAAGTGTCGTGGACTGTTCGAAATATTGGCAAAGTGGGCAATTTGTTGGTCACGTGGGTAGATGCTGTCTTTATTGGCAAAAGCGCAGACTTCCGCAGGGCAAGGTAATGTCACATTTGTGCTGAACTGGAAAGAATTGCATATTTAAGAGAAATATTGATTTATGATAAGAGGAACT